TCCAGAAGGAGGTGGCGGAGCGAAAGAGGGAGAACGCCTACTTCATGGTCTAAACTGGACTGTAAAAATAATTAGATGCTCGGTCTATTCGTATAAATCACCTGTAACTTTGCTAATTGTTCCTCGTGTCTAAACTGGACTGTAAGGATAATTAGATGCCCGGTCTACCCGTATACCTCGCCTGCAACTTTGCTATTTGTTCCTCGTCTCTAAATTGGACTGTAAGAATAATTAGATGCTCGGTATATTCGTATACTTTATCTGTAAGTTTGCTAATTGTTTCTAGTGTCTAAACTGGACTTTAAGAATAATTAGATGCTCGAACTATTCGAATACCTCGCCTGTAATTTTGCTAATTGTTCCTAGCGTTTTCATGGCGTACAGGCCGTAGACGCCTTGCCTAATACCAACATGGGGTTATGGTAGCCCTGGGGTTTTGGTAGTTCCAACTTGACCGCATTGCACGGTGGTGTGGTCACTTCCTGCGTCGAAGCCACGCAGGCATTGATAAATGGCGGGGAGCCTCTCCACACCTGCCTGTGATAAAGTATATTCGCGCGAGGGGGGACCGGTTGTTTTTTACCAGAATTCCCGGTCTCCTCTCGCTAAGGTGTCTAAGAAGATTTCCCTATACGTAAATATAAAGAAAAAAAAATGGTTTAGGTTAGGTTTAGGCACAAGTAGGGAGTTGAGATCGGTGCAAGTTTTTCCGATTTCTGAACAGGATCAAACACCTCGATGAAGCTGAGGATTCACATAAGGCCTACTCGTTTGTGTTGGTGTTAGGCATGGTGCCTACGGCCTCTACGCCGCAAACATACTAGGAACAATTAGCAAAATCACAGGCGAGGTGCACGAATAAATCGAGCATCTAATTATTCTTACAGTCCAGTTTAAACACTAGGAATAATTAGCAAAATCACAGGCGAGGTATACGACTATACCAAGCATCTAATTATTCTTACAGTCCAGTTTAGATCGTGAAGTAGGCGCTCGCGTCTACTCTCTCCCTCTTTCGCTCCTTCTGAAGTATGTCTCTTCGGTAAAGTTTTGAGGACTTGTACCGATCAAATGGTCCGCTCGCTTCACCTCCCCGTGGTGTTCCCTGGAGCTCTGTGGAAAATGGCTACGGTCTTCGAAATAGAGTGCGAAGAGCGAATGGTCGAGAAGAAGGAAAAGAATATATTAAACATAATATGCTTTTACTGGTACAGGAGCCTCCAGGCTCGGTACGAAGGGAACGGTTGAGCGGGTCTGCATCGGGTCCATCAGAAAACCGCGAGCGTGAGCAGGTGACTAGGCCTGGAGCTGGAGCAACGCTGTCCCAGAAGCCTGAAGACGTAAACGGGGAAATAATGGCCGCGGCGAAAAGTAATATAAAACTGGGTACAGAGATAAGAGAGGACCGCGTTCGGCGAGCAATCACCGGGGGAGTAATACTCGAAATCCCTAGCGAGAACAGCCAGTGGCGAAGGAAGACGACCGCCTGCGCGAATTGTTCCCAGACAAACAAAAAGGCCAGAATAGCTCAGCCTATCAAACACGGAGGTTCGCAGCGGACTAGATGACTCGGTCACCCCGGCCGAGGTGGCGTCGGTGATTGGCCACGACAGGAGAGTGCGACGTATCAGCAATCAAGACCGGAGAGATACGGCACCGCACTCCAAAGCCTTTGTAGCCACAGCAGCAAAAATCACTGCCGCGGGAAGGATCCTCGTGAGTTGGGTGTCAGCGCGAGTGGAGACGCTTGGTTCCCTGCAATGTTTTCCGCTGCATGGAAACAGGGTACACGGCGCAACGTTGTCCATTGGAAGCTGATCGCAGCGGAAGACAGGGCCACTGCAGAGGAACTGCACCACTCTTGTCAAGTGCTCACTGTAAGCCACCATCCAGACAAAGATTCCAGCCAGCAGAAGGAGAAAGCAGGGGCCAGAACAAAGCGTCAAGGAAACCCATCCTTAACTATCAAAGAAAGAGAGCGGAATTGGAAGAAGAAGACTACTTTTCATAAGGTCTTCACGGACGTTGTAACTGCGATGCATTCATGGACTCCTAGATTTCATGAAGTGAGCTTGCTTCCACACATTGATTCTGCTCTAATATTACTGCTAGTAACAGGAAAAATTATCTGCAATACTAAAATTTTTAGTTAATTGGAAAGAGTTATGAAGATTAATTTGTTAATTGACGTCCTCGTTCTGTTTCCATCCTGTTCAAATTGTATGTTTATATTAGTTGAGTATGTCTCGGAGTTTCGGCAGTCGGAATCTTTGCTCACCAAACTGAACATGCATCGACCACCACTTGAATGCGAGACTTTTGCTGCCCTTTCGTGAAAATATTTTCAATAAAATAAAAAGAATAATTAAGTTCCTGTAATATCAATTATATAATACATTTATTGTTTTATGACAAAATTTAATTCAATTATTTAAATTAATTTTATTTTATATATATTATATACATTAACTACAGGGGGGACAACCTCAATAGCGGTTCAGCTGGAAGACAAGAGGTCCTTTGAGGACCTACGTGGTCAATAGAATAAAGAAGGGAGTTCCAGAGGAGTCTAAAGGCAAGACAAGGACGTCCTGCACGGATCCTCATCAGAACAGCAGCGGTTGGGCCGAATTTTATCACGGAATCCGGCTAGTGGTACCAGGACGAGCCTTCCGAGGAGCACTGCCCCGAGACATGACATGAGCAAAGGGATTCTTACCTCCACCACTAGGAGTCCCAAAGGGAGTTGCCATCGACCAGACTTCACACAGCGCCATCGTCGATCTCTAGACGATCAGTATGTCATTGCTCACCCCGTGAGCAGAAGATTCAGAGATAGAATAGAGATAGAATTATTAAAAAATTATTATTGCCTATTAGAGGCAGACCGGCTTCTGAAGAGGGCAGAGAAGGAATAGCTGAATCTCTCCCAACTTATCAGCGCAGAGGTGGTTTTAATCCTCCCCTCTTAGAGTGGATGCGGTAGCTTCTTCTGCTGGTGGATCTTGATGTTACTGTCGTGGTCCACGCGTTCAGAATTCTGAACGTAGATGACCTGTCAGTGTTGCTATTCCCAACTATTGAAAATACTCCCAGCTCTGCAATCTTCTGTAATTTTTTGCTTTATCGTGCCCTATGGGCAGCTTTGATTTCTGTGAAACATATGTAACCTCCGGGGGAATTGTCGTTGCTTGTTTAGAAATAAAGGCCACTCATAAAAACTGTATACTGTTTAGAAATAGACCACTAAGAAAAATATAAAAAATAGATGATACACTATCGGTATGCTATCTATCCTCATTACGCTGTTTCTAAGGATAATAGTACAATAACAAGCCGGGTCGTATTTGGTGGTTCAGCAAAAAACGAGCTCAGGCCTGTTCCTGAATGGCGACCGACAATCCAAAGTCCGACAATCTCTCTTCCATTCTCGTTAGATTCAGGCAATATAAGTACTACCAGCCGACATTGAAAAAATGTATGGGCAAATTTTAATCAGGCGCTTCCAATGAATTCTATGGCCATCCAAACACATCAATATACACGTACCAATTAAAAATGCCATCCCATCAAAGCCACTCTCTTGGACGGTGATGGGAAAACTTGGGAATCTTCTTCACACTCCTGATTAGTCACAATGGAAGGGGGTGACCCAACGAAAGTTGGGTCAAAATTAGAGTCATACATTGTAAGCATAGAGGGTTCAATTCAAGTCATTTTGTTTAACATTGTTGCCTAAGCAATTATAATTATAGAATCAGTAAGACATCATACAGCAAACAAAACACACCGCACACTCAAAGACTACCTAATTAAAAGTTATTACTATGTTTTTGCCTATGATCAAGTATTCTTCGCTATATCACAACTCGAAGAGTATGAGAGTTGCTAGATAACACATACTACATACTTGGTGTTGAGTCACATTTGCTTGTGATTGGGATCGAGTTGATCAGGTTGTCTGCACGCAAACTTAATCTTGTGCGTAAAATGGAACGTTTGCAGTAATCAATAATTGAATTTAAAGTGAACTATAGTCATACGCGGTATATCCTAATCTTCTAAGTATATCTGTGCGTGCATGAGCCGTGGCCTAAGTCCATTTTCCAAAAAAATCAAGCTGTTATAATATTCATTTCTACGTTGCCTATTTTTAAACAAACTGTAACTAATACATTTGAAATCACTAAGATTTTGTACACAGAAAATTAGCTGGTTAACACTAGAACTACAATTGAAACGAAGATATTTCAAAATGACTGGCCTTTAGAAAAAAAGTAATATTTTTATATTAATTGACTTATTACTTTCTTACCAAAGAAATCCCATGTTAGGTGTATTCGGCAAATATTGAATAAATCTGCATCTAGCTTTAGATGGAAAGAGTTGTTTGTCAATTCTAACATTTGCACCCAGTTCGTAGCAACTCTGACAATTTTGAACAAACTTATCCCATACAGCTGATATCAAAGTAAATTTATCACTTTGTAAACGTTGACTTCGTCACTGTTTTTTGTCAAAGCGAATAGATCTCAATATTCCGGTAATATATCATTTCATCATTTCATGGTGTTGGAAAAGAAGTTTGGTCCCCATTTAGTAGTTCTAGTGCTAATAGAGTGATCAAGATTTTTATATTGGAAGTCCCCATTTTAAAAGTTTCAAACTAATATGATGTATAATATGCAGTAAAATTTTATGAGATAGGAGCTATATTTTTTGTTATTAAAGTAATAGTGCTCGATTAATTCGGATAGTGATTTTTTTAATAGTAATAATAATAATAATAATAATAATAATAGTGATTTTTTAAATAATAATAACAATAATAATAATAATAGTGATTTTTTAAATAATAATAATAATAATAATAATAGTGATTTTTTTAAAATAATAATAATAATAATAATAATAGTAATTTTTTAAATAATAATAATAAATCCATTAAATATATGTATTCAATATGTTGGATGCGATTTTTGAGAATAAAACCATATAAAATGTTCTACAAAACATCAATGAATGAGGATACACTATTCAAAACTCTTGATTTACTTTGGGTGAGGCCAAGAAACTTTAATAATACTGAACTGACACTACTGTACAAAAATGTAAGACCGATCGCAACACAAAAATACAATGATACCATGGAGTTATTTTACACTATATATGGTATACCACCTGTACACCATATTTATTTTAAATCTTTAAATTGGAGAAGAATGAATTATAAATTACGAAATATCATTTGAATGTAACATTTTTTTAATAGTGAATAAAAGTTGGATATTTTTTTAACTTTATAACACAAAATTGTAATATTTTTTTTTTTATTTTAAGAGAATTTTATTTTATTAAAGTGGCTTAATAAAATGAAAATTTCTAACCGTTATTTTTGAGTGGCTTCCATTTATAACTATCAAAAACGTGTTATTTTTCTAAACAATTATTTATTTATCATACTAATAATTAGAAACACAAAAATATACTATATTATCATTTACCAACATTTTTAAATTTATCAAAACGCAAACTGTAAAATATACCTTGATTTAAAGATAAATGGACTTAGGCCACTTTCAAAATGGAGAATCACTTTGACCACGGCTTTTTCGTTTCTTGAAGCTGTCTCAGCTTGAACACCAGTTATAGATCTTTCGATACTATTCACGATATTTGTAAATTATGATTACTTTAATCGAAACAGCTTCAGTGATATTAGCCATCTGTAGGACATATAATGTATTTTATTTTCGAGCTTTCTCGAATAATTGCCGATTTGTGATTTTTCGCGAGTTATAAATGCGTTGTTATATAAATAGAACTGATTATGATTAGATTCTGGGAATGCCAAAATTATGTGATGCGGCTTCCGGTAAGGAAGGAACCGACACTATCTACCGTGGTAAATAACTCAAGATGGAAGCCGAGGGTAGGGGGGAGGGAGAGAGAATGACTAGCTTTGGACACTGCCAACGCTTTCAACACTTTCAAGAAGACTGCATATGAATGTTGAGTGCTATACAAGGTCGAATGAACAAATATGTTAACGAAAAGGTTCTTCTCAATGGCGAGTTTAGTTTGCGACCAAAGGTTAAGTGGAAGTGAAATTGTACGGTCTGACGACTGAGAGGATTTAAGTGAAGAAGTGAATATGACAGTATCGAAAGAGAGGCACTCCCCATTTGGATGAGAAACTTCAGAATGCGAAGATTTGGTGAGCGATTTCTAGTATTACAATCTTGTTCAGCTAAAAGATTATTAGTTATTGTACGTAACAATCATTGTGCATCAGGTATATCAATTATGTATGATATTCTATTGTTGAGTCTTTAATATATTCTAAAGATGCTGTATCTATAACCACTATCATTTGCACCATCTTTTTGAAATACTCTGGACTATATCATATCATTGTATTTAATTATCTTTCAATATTATAGTTGCATAAATATTTGAATTACTTTTATGACACTTGGTTACCATTTGCATTTATATTTGTATCCAAGTCAAATTTATATTGAAAACCAGAACAACCTCCACTTTTCACTGTTGGGTCTTAAACAAGGTCTAAACCATTATCTGTAATTTTCTTTGAACGATGAACACAATTATGTATCTGTAATGATGATATCACTTTTGGTGTCTTCTGTTATCTGTTTTATTTAGTAATGAATCTGTAGACACATTGTATCACTAAGAACAAAAAATTACTTCCAGCTCATTGCAAAATAACATTGTTGGAAAGTATATATAAATTCACATTCACTGTCAAATTTGATCTTTTCTGAAAATCATATTTTCAGAATCAAATTGAAATTGTTTCATTGGAAGGAAAATTCAAAAATAAATGCAACGTACATTAATCAAAAATTTTAGTTGAAAACTTGCGTTAATAAACGTGAGAAATTTGCAACAAAATTTGAAGAAAAACTCTAAATTAATTTCATTATGTTTCTAATGTGCATCTGTGTGTATGTGTGTGCATGACAGTCACAAATAAATATAGCAGATGCAGATAAAAAATTTATTTAACAAAAATAAATTTGTCACCTAATTCATTGTTGTTACTATTGCGTCATAAACTTTATAAACCGTTGTTTCTTCGCTTCTTGGTTTACATTAATTGCAACAATTAACGACATTAGTAAAGGCATTAACGACATTAGTAAAAAGATATCAACGTCTAGATGGGAAATATCATATCATTCGTACTGATAATAGAGAAAGATTGTATAGTATGCTCAAACAGAAAAGAAAAGTTCAAGGAGAAAAAGGAGAAACTTGATTCTACTGCCTTTGTAAACCTGGCATACATACTGCTTCAAGAAATTTCACACTCTGAAAAAATACAAAAATTAAACCATATTTGTGTATTCTCAAATAATAATTATTGTTCTTCAATAAACTCTAAAATTCCATTAAACAAAATATTTTTCAATCCTATTTTCAACATCCTATATTTAACTCTTAATAAAATATTTTCAACATCCTATATTTAATTCTTCAGTACATAATATCTGAATTATAGTTGAAAAAGTCCTCGACCGCAAAAGGTTATTAATTAAATTTCATTAAATACTAAATTATATTAACACTAAACCTACCGAGACTTCATGTATACTTATATTCCTACTGCAAACAGTCATATGACTGTTTAAAAAAAAACATTTCTTAATATAGAATGAAGATTAACAATTAGATAGTGCACAAAGTATTTTCTTATATTTAAAAATAAATGTTTCTCTTATTCAATATTTTTTTATATTTAAAAATAAACGTTCATTTTATTCAGTTTCACCAAATTTTCAACAAATTATTCTTGATTGTACCTCTCCCACATATTTTTCACATTTTAGACAGATTTTATTAGTCTCATTGCCTTTGCAAAATCATATTTGGCAATTTTTCTTATCACATGAATCTGTAGTTATTTTGAGAACTCAGATGAGGATGGTTGTATTTTCGTTATTAAATGACTATTTCGCTGGTCGCTGTGTATTGTTTTGTATTATGTGCTGCTTTACTAACTATTTTTCTGGATTGCTGTGAATTTTTACTGTAGAAATTTATTGTTTCTGGTATGTGGACATCATTTCTTTTTTCAATTTCAACGCATGAATGCATTGAATTGATGTATCAGTACCTTTTTATCAAGTTTAGCTTTGCAAATTGTCACAATTATGTGATCCGCATATTGTTGAGAAACGATTCATATTGTCCATTGTTTGTCCTGGTAATTTTGATTAGCTCTTTTTTATTTCCCCGGGTAATTCCAACATGGCTTCTTTTTTTTTTTGCTAAAAATTTTGTCACTAATGACACACTTGTGAAAATATTGTCTGCGGTTATATTTCTTCCACAATTCGTAGGGTTCTAATTTCAAGGTAACAAACTCCCCAAAAATGGAACCGAAGATTTCCTCCTTTCATCTTTTTCCAAATATTGGGAACCGTTTATTATATACAGTATACATATACTGATCACACTTTAGATCTTGTAAGTGACCAGCGCTTATTCCCACCAATTGTTGGACTATCTCCATTCTACGCTACCTTGCATAAATTATAAATTTCGCATGATTCGGAATTTCTGGTTCTGTTGTAATAGTTTTTTATAAATAATATAACAATCTCTCAATTTCTTCTGCCTCCATTGGATTTGCAAGAAGCTGCCAGTGAGAAGATTCTTCTGTAGCATCTGTCTCTTTGGTAATTCTTTCTGCTTCTATTACATTCTGCTACATTTATTGATCCAGTCTGTCAAAATTGATTCACATGCTGCATCAAGAAAGTCACAGAATACATCAAGTTTTTTCAACTATTCCTGTTTCTCGATTAATGATTTTACTCCAGAAATTGAATATATTCGCAGCAATTGTAATGGCCCATATTTCATTTACTAAATCTATACAATATCTTTTATCATGTCATAATCAGCATAGATTTCTGATGTTCCATTTTCATATTGTAAGAAGATACGTTGTAACAATTTGTATCAGAATTATTTTTTCTTTTTCTTTTTAATTTTCAAATTGTACCCTGATCCATTGGTTGGATTAGGAAGCTGTGGTATATGAGCCCATTTCTTCTTTGGTAATTTATGGCCATTAAAATCTTACTATTTTCTTCCAATTGCCGTCTTCTAATACAAGGTTTAAATTCATTACCACAACTGAAAAGTTGCAGTATTCATCCAAGCATTTTTATTATGAGTATATATCAAGGGGTAAATTATTTTCACAGTACTTTAACGCTCTTGGATTTTTATATTTATTAATTAAAAGTAAGAGTAATTTATGATTTGACATAATATAATTTTATTTATAATATAATTTAACTTTCTAACTTTTCCATTTTAGAATTCGTTCTGTTGGGAAGCATCTTCCAAAATAAACTTGTTTCATCCATTGTTATCACTGGTTTCATTATCTTCCAATATTTGTGGAAATTGTTGCATATATCTTTCTGCAGCAGATTTGCCCACATAGTCACTTTCATCGCAAATATTTACAAGACGTAGATTATAATTTTTTTTTAAATCGCCAAAGCCACCCTCTACATGTAATGTTGGATGAGCAGCCAAACGACAGAAGTACTACAAGTACAATTCTTTGTCTAAATCAGCAGATGTAGATATATGCAGTCTTTCTCTTTGCAATTTAGAATCTTCCTTCGCAAATTGTTGTATCGACAAAGCATTTTGTCGAGTACGTTTTATCGATATTCGATTTGTAACATTATATTCACGTGCAAGATTATTTATACTTTCACCAGCCTCTAATTTATTTAAAATGTCGAAACGACCTGCAATGTTCAGTTGTTTGGAATCAGCCATTTGATTGAATTGTAAAGATCATATATACTTGATTAATTAATATGAATTAAGAGTCACTGGCGTCGACACTTTTAAATCACTTTTCTTTTTTCTTCTTTTTTCTATCTGTGATGTACTCAGAGTCCTCTTTTACATCAAAATCTTATTTCAGTCTCCTTGTATGTGTACAGTCTCCTTTATACTGAACAACTTTAGTGAATAAAATTTTTTCACATTTTTAAAAGTTGAATCAATGTAAGTAATTTTTGAAAAAAAAAAGAAAAAAAATTTACTTACACATTGTGACAAGAATTACTATTAGAATCTAGTTATTTTAGTTCTCACAGAAATATCTTTTTGACTGAATTTTACACTGTTTCAAGGAACGGTGGAAAAATGATGACTTAATATTTCATCTATAATTGCAATGCACTTAGCTTTGCTCCACAATTGTGAAAAATATGCCAAGGCGAATTGCATTTTAAGTGCAAAGGGACTATGAACAAAATATTAACACATTATGCACGCATATATGCATTTTTTTAATTCACATTGATAAAATATTCTTAAATATTACTATATATTTTTTTACACATCTATGTATTTAGATTTTAGATTTCAACTGTTATTTATTATTTTATATTAATAAAATTAAATCGATTATCACTTATTTTAAAAACTTGAATAAATACCTCAGAGTATGATCTAGTGAAGCATTCTCCTTCGTGTAATGATATTTGGCATAATTTGCAAATATATCTAGTTTTTCTCCTTTTTTCCATTAAACGAGCAGACTTTACATTTTTTTTTTTTTTTTTTTTGTTGAGAATCTTTTTGCCTTTTCTTATTTATTGCCTCAATAAATATATTGAATTCTTTTTGCTTATATCTTTGCAGAAAAACTAAAGAAGTGTGACGTTTTGTCTCGGATTTGTGCTGCAAGGCTGATGGCGATGACCCAGATGTTTAGTATAAAATCTCTAAAGTCATCACTTATACTAGACTTATCCTTTATCTAACGATCTATCAATCGCCATCGATCCATCGGTTAGCTATGACCATTTGCAGCTGTTGGAGGATACAATGTCAGAATACTGTATATGTTGGACGATGAACACTGCGGGGATTCGATTAGGGGAACACGATTATCTCCATTCTGCCGGCCGAAAAGACATAGAATTTGAAATTGGGAACTGAATTGCGAAATACATGCAGTAACGTAGGAACTCCAAGACGTTGAGCAATGTCACAATACTTGGGACGTATTTTTGAAAATTACATTAATGAAGGAAACGTGGCCAAGAATCTTTACAGAGATTGAAAAAAACGTCAGCAACGATCATGTAACAGTCACGTGATCTTCAACGAGCAGAGAAGACAAATTGTCAAAATTGACAGCGATGAATCAATTGCCAACATCGAATTCTGGAACTTCACGTCGATTGTTATAAACCCTGTAACGAAGACGTAAGGAAAATTAATTTCTTCAAACATCGATTAAACAAAAAATAAAGATCCAAACGCTATTATCAATGTAATCTATATATATATATATTTATATATATGATTTATTATTCATAAATCATAATAATATGATTATTATTATTAATATAATAATTATTATTCATAAATATATATATATATGATTTATTATTCATCTTCTTTATCTCAGAAATTATATATTAGCATAACTGCAAATATTATTAATACTGAATAGTGCACAATGTTCTATGTCCTCAGGACGCACGAGAACTGGAAGACACGAAGATCCATCTGGCTGATGAATTTTTTCGTTAATGGCTTCAATTGGTCATTTTGCACTCAAAGCAAAAACTGCACTGCTCACATTCGACAATATAAATAACAAAATAGTTGGTCAATTTGAACATAAGCAAGATGGTCATGTTAAAATCAACATTGTATAAAAAAAAAAAAAATGTGTAATGAAGCTGTCGAACGACTAATAATCAATATCAATTAGGAATCTCACACTTTCCCCCAAGAACCGGAGGTGCAAAATTTTTTCCAACTTCAAAAAACAAAAAAAGAAATATTAAGGAACGAGATGTATCAAACGAAAGGTAGAATTGTGGCCAGTGTCCAAAGGACGATGGCGGACTTTTCGAGCGACGAAAGCTCACACAGGTCTTTCCAGAAGATTGGAAAATTTTCTCCTACCTTCAAGAAGAAAGAAAGTATTCAATTACAGGAAAAGAAAGGTGGAATGATCAAACAACTGCGGTGGGCCTTCCGAGCAACAAAATCTCGAAAGTGGAGCTGTCTATGCAAAATTTTCTCTTACTCCAAGAAAAAAGGAAGAACGAGAAGAATGTCAACGAGAGATGAAATGACCAAACAACGGTGGCGGACTTTTCGAGTAGTGGAGCTGTCTATGCAAAATTTTCTCTTACTCCAAGAAAAAAGGAAGAACGAGAAGAATGTCAACGAGAGATGAAATGACCAAACAACGGTGGCCGACTTTTCGAGTGACGAAAATTCACTCAAACGTTCCCAGAGAACTGGAAGCTATCTCTCTGCAAAATTTTCTCCTACTTCAGTAGGAGAAAATTCACTCAATGAGATGAGGAACGAGAAGTAGCAAAAGCTTGATAGAATGAAGCTGTCGAATGATCCTGAAACGCGAGGAACACATGGGAAAAATTATATTTTCTAGCTTCAAAGTGATGGATAGTATTGGCAGTGCACATACACGGACGACCAGACAACGACAATGCACTTTTTAATATACGAGTAGCAGAAACTGTATATTTTCTTGTATCGCGAAGTTTATAGAAAAGCACATTCAATTATATCATGAACTACTAAATCGAAGCTTAAAATTAGAATTCATTTAAGAAGAAAATGTTTTTCATACCGCGAAGATCATGAAATTTGTAAGGCATTTATCACTTACAATTAGCATTTCACATTAAATATTATAAAATTGTCTTTCTACAGCAACTGAAATTTCTGTTTATAAAAATATCTTAGCTATGAATTTTAAGTTTGACCCTTATTCCTGGAATTCAGGATTTAAATCAAAGTAATATTTTGCTATATGTATTTCAATAATAAAATTAAATGCCTTGAAATTATTGGAAAAATGTGCCACTGTTCCAATATGAATTTAATAACGATATATTAGCTCTCTTTGATTGAGAAACAAATGAACCCACTATAATGGCGTATCGTTAAAAAAAAAGTCACTATAGTAGCATTCAATGTAACTGGGTTAAGCTTTAACATTGGTCTAGTAATTTTTATGAACAGAATGTAATCCAGTGTACAGATTCTTTCATTTTATCATTTATTTCTTCTATTGATATTACTGATTGATTTACTATAAGCCTGTCATCAAACCACACGAATCAAGTCCCAGTCATTTAACTATGAATCTATCACTATGAGCAGATTAGCTCATTGCACGTGTAATTGATGAAACTAATATGAAGATATATGAGAGAAAGAAACGATGGAAAAAAGTAAGTATGAGGCATGAGCCACGGGAGAGCCAGTTCAACAAATCTGATCTATTAGGGTTTTACGGGGTTCGTGATCTCATAAGCAATATTTAAAAAATTTTTCGAATCCTTTCCTGGCAATCTCTTACTGACTTTCATTAGTGGAATAATACGAATATATTTTCTCGAATTTCTAACTTTGATATTTCACGTCTATCTTCAGGAATACTTGTCACACTGACGGATCGACTAATTAAATGTAATTAACTAACAAAATGTAAAGTTATATATTACAATTGATATATTACAGTTCTTTTACATTAATTTATATTTTATGATTTTCCGAGAATTAATGCTAACAATTCTTCACAAGCATGTAGCTTCGTTAATCTAAAAAATCAGATTATTCTTTTTAATATAATTCTTATTAATTTATTAGAGAAAATATAAACTAGCCGGTCATGCTCTTTTATTGTATGCAATCGCAATTTCAATCGTACCCACATTCTCAATAAGTAGTCAGCTATGAAAAAAGTTACCCTACTGAAAGTAATTGTTTTTTTTTTTTTTCGACATTGAATTTCACTATAATATCGATTATCTCGTTGTCTATGCTCTGAATTTATTACATCACTAAAACGAGAAATCAATCAGAGAAAATTGAAAATGTAGTGTATTTTTATTGTTGAAAAAAAAAAAGATGAAAAATACAACATGTTTTTGTATTCAACTTTGACAGAAGGCTGTCTTCAACTAGAATCAGCTCAAAAATTAAAACAATCGTCTACCCAAACGAAAGATCAGGGTATTTAGTTAATTTCGAAGTTTTGTTTTTTTTTTTCGTCGTTGATATTATTTTGCTTCTCTCTCGTTAAAGTACAGATCTTCGAACTCAAAATTAGCTTTTTTTGCAAATGAAGTTCTTCTCATGCGTGAGTCAAAAGTGAGGTGGTAATACAACATCATGTAATTCGAGATTTTACTTAGAATTACTACAGTCATGCGAGCTGCTTTCAAATTATCAGGAAAAAAAAAAATTAACCCTAATAATTTCGACAAGAAGAAATGCAAGCTCGCGTGTGAAGTTTTGAGTAAGAGAGTTCCCCAGCTGCTACATTCTTTAAAACATTTATTTGACAATTTAAACAGAGCCAGTGGTCCCAATCCCATGAATCGTGTATTGTCAAATTTCAATAATATTCGACGAAATTTCTAAGTAGACAATTCAATCAATATGAAAAAATTGGTATTTCAGGTATTAAATGAATTAAAAACGCCATGTTTTTTTTATGGGGGGGGGGAGATTAACAATAATTGCAGATATAATATAAATCAAAAAGGTTTATAGGTTAGGTTTAGGTTAGATCTGTTTCTAATAACGTAGCGTTTGAACAGCAATCCTTTAGAAAATTCTTTGTTTGTTCTTCGCATCCGCAATGACAATCAAAATCCTCCGGCAAAAAACAGTACGACTTGCAATTAGAAAAACATATGTCACTGAATTTGAAAACCACATAATGGGAACTACGCTACACAATACTTTCATTGGTTAAAGGGAACGTGGAAGATAAATAAACCAAAATAAAAATATCGAAGTAGATAATATCGAGAGTTGTCAACATCGACATATTCATTGCAGGATACATTGCAATATATAAATAATATTCTATTATGGAGTACATGCAATGTTCATTTATTTCTTCTAAAAAATATTAGGTTAGGTTTATATCATTGCAATATATAAATAATATTCTATTATATATTAAATATATTCTAACACGATCTGGAGTACATGCAATGTTCATTTATTTCTTCTAAAAAATATTAGGTTAGGTTTATATTAGATTAAATATTAGGTAAAAATATTAGGAAACAGCTGATGAAGTGTTTTGATAAATGTTCTGGTAAACGTTTAATGTACTTCGGGATGGATAAGGACCTTTTTTCACATCTTTATGTGGTCCATTCTGTTACTTTTATTACTTCATTCACTGTCAATGCGACACTGCTGCGTTGTGATGGAACTAAGATGAAAGAAAGGCATGCAACGGATAAATACAGACATAGTATCACTTTCTTATCAATTTTCGATATTTTCTAACATTTTTGAAAATATTATGTTTTTTTTTATATTTTCGTTTCCAGGCGAATAAAACAGTATTGGGCATGAAAATCTTTTTAGAATGCACTTTAGCATGCATGCTTTGTATATGAAATCTAAGACCTAGATCTAAGTCCCCTTAAATACCTTGTTAGGAATTCGCCACGCTATGAGTCGTCCTCAGGTTTCCAAGGACCAAAATACAAATCAGAGAACGATATACATATTTTTATTACGCCAAGAAGCAACAACGTGAAAAATCTATTTTATTCCAATCGAATTCTACGAAACTGTAAAGTATAGGTGTTCCTCCCATCCCTTGATCTGCAGAAATATATTTTGCACCACATTTGTAAACACTGTAAATTTGGTAAATTCTGTACCAAATTTGTAAACACATTCGATATTGATCGATTTTGCGAGATACACAATCCATGTAGTTTTTCATTAAATCTTCATGAAATATTAAAAACTTGAATAAATAACAAAGTTTTGTTACTATCATAATATTGAAAGATAATTTATAGAAAAATGTCGAATAATATTTTAATTAATAAGCACAATGTTTAACTAAGTAATTACAGAATTTACGTTATTTGTCGTAACTTAATGCATATCAATTGTAAGTAAAATTGTTAAAAATTTAACATAAATGTGAACATGTAATGAGCGATATATAAAGAAAATATAATAACTTTAATATTTTAATATTAATAATAATTTAAAGTAATTGAAAATTTAGTTAGTTACAAATTGTTTTTTAAGAATGTTTGATGAAATATATCCAGTGCATTTCATAACTTCCTAGCTCCGTTATTTAAACCACAGATGAAGTATATTCATGTACCTTGTCCTGTGTTTAAACGTAAGATTGAGCTAAAAAATCAATGATTTTTTATCGTTTAGATATTTCACAGTCTCGTAAAATGCAATGCTTCTCACATATCTCGTCTGTTCTATTAGACAATGCTGGTAGTGCAGTATTTACAGATAATAATCTGCAAAAATACGTTTTCAACATATCATTGATTGCCTAATTATTTCCAAACGAACTGATAGACTACATAAAGCAAACTGTTTACAAACTACTTTTGATCAAAATTTATAAATGTTTAGAAGATTAGACAAAAAATTATAGAATCAATGTTGCATTAAATACCTGCGATTAACTCCCTCTTTGTATTAACGGCAATAATAATAATAATTGCATCGGAGGCTCAATACTCAATAAATTCAAGTGCATCAAAACTAATTTCATTACCATGCCAGTAGGTATGCTTCTATTATACGCTAAGATTTACAAATCCCTTCTGTGTAAAAAGAAATTCCATGATTTTCCGATGGATCTAAAAATAGAACAACAAATCGTCCAAACACCTGTAAATTGCATCCACACTGTTGAGAAAGTGCGTCACGAGAGCAAGGAGTAGCATTTCTTTCCGTTTCCCTTCACAACGACTTCACTTAACCATGGCAAACCGAACACTACAACACATGCTGACGTTACCGACCGAGCCTGCCAGCTCAAAAGCGGCAGCCATACTGGTATTCACGTGACAACGTTTTGGCCAGAGGAACCAGCATTATGGTTCTGCCAAGAAGAGACACGCTTCACATTGAGTAGTATAACGTCCGACCAGACGAAATTTTAACACGTAATGTCAATTGGAGTTAGTTGGTGCATGGAGGAAGTGTTTCGCACGAAAGTGGGATGATATACGGAATATTAACGGAGGCCAGGTATCTAACTTGTTGAAGTTTACGCACAAAGAGACGTATGTAAAAGAAACGTTGGATACTTGTCTACTTAAACAAAATTCATTCAATGTCTCGAAACTGAGGAGTGTGTACACTGAAATTACTTTAGTTTTATTATCCGATGAGGTTGCAACCAAAAAGTACCCATGTGATAAAATAAAATAATCAAATTCGTTAGAAAATCAAAAAACTCTTGAAATAAGACAGAATTGTAAATCTCTGAGAGATCAAAGGTGATACGTAACAGATTATGGAAAAAATATACAAAAGATAACACGAAGATTTTATTTCGATTTTATTTCCTACATTAATTAGAGAAAGAATTAATTATGAATACAATCATAATTAATTAATTAATTAATTAGTTACAGTTGTAATCAAGTTTCATAGAGCCATGTGCAATATCACTGAACCTGGATAAAAATATTCCTATACACATTAATGGGAGTGTACATGCATATTATAAATATCTGTAAATAATCCTGCACCAATAAAAGACATGATATTTGATGGGCGTTTGTAAAAGAAATAATTAATTTTAGTTCTAATGAACTAATTAATTATAATTGTAATCAAATTTTATAAAGCCACGTGCATCACTGAACTTGGGTAAAAATAAAAATATTCCTATACACTTTAATGGGAGTGTACATGCATAATATTACAAATAGCTGTAAGTCCTGCACCAACAAAAGACATTATTTTTGATAAGCGTTTGTAAAAAACATTACAATTGTCAAAATTGAAAAATTTCGTTACTTTACTGAAAAATTATATGTGAATAAGAATAAGAATAATATTACGCAACAATTCTTAATGTAAGACAGAGTTGCAAATCTCTGAGAGTGAATTAAAGCTGATACGTAATAGATTATGGAAAAAATATAGAAAAGATAACACAAAGATTTTATTTCGAAAAGCTACTAGAGTTCTCGAAAGAATTAATTATAAACACAATTATAATGAATTAATTAATTAATTAATTATAATTGTAATCAGATTTCATACACAGCCATGTGCAACATCACTGGACTTGGATAAAAATAAAAATATTCCTATACACATTAATGGGAATGTACATGCATAATATTAAAAACCATTACAAGTGCCAAAATTGAAAAATTTCATAATGAAAAATTCTATGTACCAATAAGAATAACATCATGAAGCAACTTAAGTGAAATTTTCCTGTAGTAAATAATTATCTATAGTGCTCAAATATAATGTCACTCTCTTGGCATAGCTTGTCTCTAAGTTCCTGGTTCAGAACAAGTTTGTAGAGAACTATGCTCACATTCTCTGAATGTATTTTGAGGTCTACAAATATAGGAACAAAATCAGACTTGTATATCTCTTTTCTGTACATCATAATTTCTGTCAAATTAATTTCTCTAATCAGAGCTCCTGCTGTAACTGCTCCTAATCGGAGCAAAGTACAGATATCAGAAGAAGTTTTATTGAAATAAACAAAATTTCATAAAAGGACTTATTTTACTTAAAATAAATTACCGATAAAGTTGGTAACTACATGTACTATAAATAAATAAATTTGACTAAACTTATAATAACTAAAATTAGTTCTACTTTTCTTCAATCAGGCAAATAGTAGCAACTGAATGAATAACTTTTCTTCTACAAAAAATGATGAGAAAATTCATTATTTATCAGAGTAATTACAATAACTTAAAGAAATTATATTAGTGCACCTACGTGAAAGAGAAATTCTCTAACTAAAATCTAAAAATGATTGCCACACATCTCAACGTTAGTCTACGTTGCATTAAGTACCTGCGATTAACTCTCTCTTTGTGTTATAATAATAATAACATTTGTTGGGAAAACAATTTATGCTGTCTATGAGAATTTCTTCTGCTTCTTCGATCCCAGAAACTCTCAGCAAAGCCTATCTAATTGCTAATCACTTTCAAAAATTTTATTAACAAAATAAATGTAACCATGCATCAATAACCAAGCAATGAAGAAGCTAGGAATAATGCCACTGACTTTCTGCAATTAAAAATTGCTCGTCGTTAATATGGCTGATTCAAAGATTAGAAAAAGCAGGAAGATTCTTTGGCTTTTATAAATCCATTTACTCTTAATGAATATCATATTTCAAATTTTTCTGGTGATTTAGCAGGGAGATTCTCATTGAGTCGTGCATAATACAGTGATCTTCACTTAAGATTGCACAATCGGGAAATATATCAAAATATTGGTACCAATCGTTTTGTACTGTGCAGGTATCATGACCTTCGACAGATCACACAAGATAGCGTAGAGTGAAATAGACTCAATTTCAAGAATTGGTGGGGATACTGACGGACACTTAAATGGGGAATTTATAAGAAATTTGGAGATGCAAAAATGCATATTAGAAAAGTACAAAGTGCGATACTTTGTATGATATAATAATGGTGGAAACAATTTTCTATCCAGTTTTTTTTTTCTAAAAATTTAGATATAAAAATTTGAATCTAGAAGATTATACAGATCATTATAACAAATATAAATACTTGGCAATAATACTGACATAAAGAAGTCTTCCCAAAAAAACTAAATTAACTTAATTATAATTAAAAAGATATCGCTATTGTACATATGTACAATTAATCAGCAATGTTCTTTCTAATTAAATATATGTGTGTAATTTTATTGCACAATGAGGTGGCAGTAGAACCTAAAGAACTAGTGATATATACTTGAATAATGTACAGTATCAAACAATTTTAAGATTGCCAAATGCAGAGAAATTTAGAGAACAATTTGTCCATGGGTCCATGTGATAACTAACAATTGTAAATGACTCTGATCTGGAGAACATGCTTCTTCAAGTGTAAGTGATACTTAATCTTCTAGATATGGACGAGATCTGGTAAAAACATGAGAAACCAGTTTCAGAAAAATTTAGAATTTATTACTGGAACCAAACAATGGGTGATGACAAGAAACATGTTCATAATACTTACATAAATAGATAAATAGATAAATGGATAGATAGATGTAGATACTAAATTTTTTCAATTAAATTCGCCTGACATAGATATAGTATTAAAGAATTCAAAACACATGCATGAAAGCTATTGCAACTAGAGTATCCTGTTTTATTTCTACTTCCATAATAATATTACTATGTAACGCGCTCTTAGAGGAAGACAAATATGAATGGCAATAATCGAATATCCGTCGATTTGGAAAAATACACACATGGCCTATTTAATGGTTCTCAAAATAAGAAGCTTCCTTGTGGAGATCAGTTACATTAAAAGATGAATTAGATTGTACTTTGAACGAAATACGTTATATGCAATGCATGATTGGTCTTAAAGTCAGCTCTGAACGAAACAAAAAATGGCACAATTTATTCCATTTCCGACTTGCTTCGTCTCTTCAAATGTGCAAGGAACATAACTTAATTAAAATACAATTCTGAAAAACAGCTAATGTAGAACAAAGCCAAAAATTACGAGCCACTAATAAATATATAATTGGTGGTGTTCTGAAGTGATTAAAGGCCCTTATTTACTATGGATGCGGAGGATTCGAAGAATGGAAAGAAACAAGAAATAGATATTCTTAGATCTTGTGACGATAGAGCCTCGCATGTCATCCTTATGAAAAAGAAGCATATCAAGCATCTTTCAACTACGTATTATTCAGAGACGTCCACTGTACATTGATACCGGAGTTATAGCTATTGCTCTTGTTCAGTTATAGCTGATGGACAGCTGCACAAACAATGATTTTTCAATCGACAATTCAATTAATCATCAGTCCAAGTAAGTGTTCGCATTTAAAATGGCTTAACTGGTTTGACAGACGTGCTGAAGCGATTAATGGCACCTCTGTGCCATTTTTGAGTGGCTGCGACAATTCAAACAGTAGCTGAAAGCACAAATAATTTATTCCTATAAGGTAGATAAAATATCTTTCTATTAATTTCTGCAAAATTGAAGTTTGTCCGGGATTGAATCGAACGGATTCTCACATATATAATCAAATTTTAATAACATTCAACAAAATAAAAATTGATAAATTTATTTCGGCAAGAAATTTCACAACACCTACAATTTTAGGGTGGATTACATGAATCTGAAAATAGCATCGTACAATTGGAATGAAATAAGTAAGTAACGTGGTCTTTTTTGTTTTTTATATTGCGAAAACGCAATTGCTGTAATCGCAATATAATAATAAACTTTTTTTACTAGTCAAATACAGCAGACTCTGTCCTGCAGATCCAATGAACGTATAAACATAATGTGAGGACGCTAAGCCCGTAAAGTAATTGCGAAAATTATATTATGAGACTGACCTTACCAGACACATTTTTGTCGAAAATGATCTGTCTTCCCAATCACGTGACTGAACGAACACGAAGAGAATTGACCTATAAAATTGATACTGCAGAAAATTTCTCCACTTTCATATGTTCTTATTTTTCCATAGTAGTCTGCCGGTTTACTTATGCAGTACAATAGTACTCTCATAATTGACTACACTTTTGACCCTATAAGCGTCTGTCGCTTATCCCTAATATAAAGAATAATATCTTTATAAGAAAAACATTTTTCGCAGTGGGAATCTTCATGCAATTAATTTAAAAAGTGTATGATATTATAAGCATATCATTTCTTCCAGTGAATTGTTTCCCAACGAATAGAACAATATCAGAGGTGACAAAATCCTTTTGGGATGTACTTCAGCAAGTATGCTTTGAATGAAAAATCCTACATGCAACATTTTTACATCAGGAAGTTATCGAATATTTGAATAAAGATCTGTGAAATCATAAAGTGATCTTTATTTAGCGTGGAGATCTCAATTTCAAGAATCTGGTTCTTAGTTTATTATATGCCATTCTATTACAAATATAGCTATCAGACTTAATTAACTGTTTTACAACGTTATTACTTGCACAGTAATTTATAACGCAATTTTCAATATTTTTCAACAACAAATAACACCATACGTCGATATTTCAGGCCACGAAAGTCGGTAAAGCCAGGAAAGTCGGTAAGATGCAATCATTGACTAATAGCACAGACGAGGTCGTATCTTAGAAATGCACTTTCTTAGAAATGGACTACGTTTGAACGGAAGTGGATAAAAAAGAAAGAAAAAAATTCAAAACTTGAAGGAACATAAATTTAAGAGAATTTACAAAAAGAGAGAGACAGAGGGGAAATCTCTACATGACTAGAACCGTCTGAATGAAGGGAAATCCTACATTACTAGATATGGATAACTAGAAATGGAAAAACAATTTTATTCCCTTTCTATATTTTGTATTCTGAAACCATTGGTGTATATACGACTTCCTATTTCGAAGAATATAAAACTTTCTGCACGAAAGAAAGAACAAATAAGAACGTGCTCGGTGGAAAACACATTGTCAAATAATTCGCACGAATGAAGAGAAGACAAAATCAGAGAAAAGAGAATCTTTTTTCGAGAGAAAAAAAAACGGGGGAAAATGTGGAAAAATTAAATATTCCATTGGCACAGATGCATCGTTAATGGTTTTATTGGAGGAAATATGTTCAACCAGGGAACACAAATCTGGGAAATATAGGAAATAATATCGGTGGCTATATCGGCCCAAAATGGAAGCAGGGGCTTCGTTGAAGTGGCAATATGATAGTCGCAATCGACGAAGATAGTGCCGGCATTCAATGCGACATTTAATTCATACGACAGAATATAGAGAAACGGAACATCTTCCATTGTGATTTTTTTCTTCTAATTATAAATTAAATATGAATTTCTACAACATAAAGTATAACAAACGAAAAAAATGTTACTAAAAAAAAAAAAAAAAAAAACCAGAAACAAGAATATAATTCGAGTTGATGGCTTACCAACCCTAGCACGTTAACGTGGAATCATGGCCGCTTTTGGCTATCATTTCAAATGCAACTTTACTTGGCGCCGTAATAAAACTTTAATTTCAAATATCTTAAAATTCCTTGAGTGTCTGCCCTTATAATGTTATATATTCATAAACACCGAAATTTATAAATATATAAAATTTCAGCCAAATCCTAGGGATCCGAAAAAGCCTTGCATTCTCCTTATTCTAAGCAACAGCCGTAGCACCTGGGTAATTTGAGCAAATTTTTAAAGTAATAATAAAAATATGTCTTATTATAACTCTGTAAACAAAATCATGTAACAATCACATTTATCTGAATTCTCTTTTAAAATATGAAGCTTTTGCTTTGATTACCCTAAACCTTTGTTTTTTTAAGATATTTTTGCGTTATTCGCAAGTGGGAAATTAAAGACGTTTCTATCCTCGAAATTTGTAAAAGTTCAAATACTTTTTAAAAAATATTCAAATTTTCTTTCAATGATATCTTAAAACTTGCTATAAAGAAATTCGGTAGCACATATATAGAATTCACGTAATAAGAGAAACGTAAACATAAATACCGAGGGTCGGTAAAAGAAATTACTACAGTCTTATGACAAAGAACGATGATCGCCAGACGAGGCTGGACGAGCAATTCAACACGAGCTCTCGAACAATTCGGATGAACCGCAATTCTTTTGAATGTGCAATTTTATAATTATTCTTTATATTGCTGTATAACTTTAAGTTTAATATCGTAATGAATCTAATAGCCGGTCTATCGATAATTTCGTGCAAGAATGTTATCGGCGAGTGAGTGTGTGTATGTGTGTGTGTAAAATTATTTTTTATATATAATTATAGTTTTTAATTATTTATTAGTACACCTTATATATTATTTTACAAACATATTTTTTAATCTAATACAGAACAAAATGTATATAACATATAAGTGAGTATATTTACATACTTATATATGTACTTATATATGAGTATATATCGTGTACTCCACTTATGTCTTATTTAATTTATTTTAACTCTTACATCCACTACTCTAGAATCAATTAATATTTCAAGAATTCTGAGTCAAAAGATTACTAAAGATTTGAGTATAACAAATATATAACTTTGCCACTTTTTTTTAAATAAAAATTTTTAAAGTAAAAAATGTAGCTGAAAAAAATCTAAATTTGTTATTTTGCAATTACTTGCGAAAAAATTCTTTATGTCTACATATCTTGATAAAAGAATATCTTTATAAAAGAATTACTTTATCAAATAACATATAATGAAACTTACAAAATTAATAAAATTGTAAAAGCACAATAAAAGAAATTAATTGAACCAATGATTGAAAGAATATGTCATTAGATATTTTTAAATAATTTCAAAACTATACAACATGTAGAACTATATTTACAATGATGTAAAAGATATATTTAATAATAATTTAATAATTAACTTACAATTTAGTCTCTTTTATCTCAAATGTTCTCCATTTAATATATTTAAAAAGGCTATTTAAAAAGACAAAATACATTAATAAAAAATATTGCAAACAATTGTAGGTAACTCAAACCTAATCCTAACTGTATATTCAAATTAGATGAAAACGAGACAAGTAACCCCTAAGCAATAAAAACAGAAATTCAATTTATTAATTGTATTAATTAAATTAATAAATGTAGTATTTATTAATTAATTTCAAAACATTTTAAAATAATTTTGTGACAACTAGAATTATAGAATTAGAATTATAATGATTATAATGTTCAGAATTTTCGAGTATAGATTTAGAATACATTTACCAAGTGTACTTTGTAATATCTCCATTTGGTACAAGCATATCATTTAACAGTTTTTATTATTTTTACATCATATTATTATTCTTTTTTAATATATATAATTATTTAGTAAATAATATTGAAATTTAATTTTATTTAATGTTAATAAAACTATTTTGTAACATTTCTTGTTTCTTCTTCTTATTCTACATATTTAGGTTCAATTTATATAATTTAAATAATTTGTCACATCATTATAAAATCGAACATCAATTTTTAATTATAACTGAAGGATTTATAATTGTTTGCAACACTATTTACTAACAAGACATTCTGCCTTTGTAGAGTATAATTAACTGTTTATTATTACCATAATTTTTGTGTAACTCTAATTATTTATAACAAAATTTAATTAGTCAGCATCATGGTACGATTATATATGGAACAAAAAAAAATGAAATTTGTTCCAGCTTTTGGTAATAAATACATAAATGGAATTTATCATTTTTCTTAGATAAAAGAATGCACTTAAAATGCAATTAAAAGCAACTAAGAAAAAAAATGGACTTACCATACTGTAGAAACAAATTTATGAAGACTTGTTTTATCCATGAATAAATTTAATCGAATATTGTATTTATCTGATAAGAAAGGTTCTTGAAAAGGATTCCTAAAAAATGATAGCCAATTAGATAAAAGTTTCCAGAAACAAGTAATTTGGTATTATTACCAAAAATGTTTTACTTAGAAATAAATCTTTCTGACCACCATAAAATTTATTTATCATAAATTTCTAGCCTTAAAAATTCCCCCAAAAATTAGATAAATTAGATACGTATTAATCAGATAAATTAAATAAATGTTCCAAAAAAAAAAAAAAAAACTAATATTGAGAGGAAGTTGAATATTTTGTAGTAATATATTTATATAATTTATCATAAATTTTTAAGGAGGAAGATCTTAGAAAAGATTTCCTAAATCAATGATTTCCTATGATCGATAATAAATTAAAGACGAAGATCTTAGAAAATATTCCCTATGATTGATATGATAAATTAAATGAAAAAGTTCAATTCCACCATTGTTTCTGCCAAGCCTTTAATACATACAATAATATTCATTTTAAATACGAATATCATATTTGTTTCTAAAGGAAATTACAAAAACTTACCGAAAATGCAAAGATGATTAAAACAAAAAAGCCAACTATTATTATATTCATCATATTAGTATATTAATAAAAGTAATAACACACATGGAAACTATTATAAAAGTTGTTTTACGATTGCTAAGCTCATTTGTACGCTCGTTTCGAAACGTCGCTATAGAAATGAATCTCCTTCACGCGTCATCCTTCCTCAAACGTTTTTGTCTTTTGTTTACACAATACATGTCCAATAACGATTCGGGGAACGCAGAAAAACTTGAGTCACTTTGGTATTAGCAGAAATATCCTTGCCAGCCAGCAATGTTTATCTCTTTGTGTTTAAAATTTGCTATATGGAACGTACGTGTAAACACATTGCGATTCGAAAATAATTTCCGGATACAGAGATATTTGTGAATATCTCGACAATATGGAATATCTCGGAAGGATTTTCAATTTTTGTTTCAAAAAAAAGAAAAACGTATGATATTCGTAATCACTCAAAATGAATAAAATGTAAAATGTATTAAAAACTTGAGGCAGTCTTATCTAAAAAAGCTGTCTTGCCCAGATATAAGCCAGAAGTAAGCTTCTTAACCATGACGAAATATATTTAAAATTATATAAATACAAAATCACTAAATATATTCAAAATTATGTATATAAATACAAATATAAATTCCTAACTTTTCTAAAAATAAATTAAATAAAAAGAACTGATATTAACAGACATTTGATTATTTTATAAGAACGTAGAACATATTAAACTGAATAAGAAAAGCGTGTACACGCAATATACATATTTTCTTCACCTGCCATTTTCGAGGCCATTATTTTCATTCAAACATAACAATTATTCCATCAGAATTTCTATACGCAACGTATCTTTAGCAGAATTTGAAATTATTCGTATAAAATAAATTTGATGCCTGA